TGTATATAGTTTAATGTAAAGTAATATTTCATTTTACTTTATATTAAATAATTCAACGAAAAATATAAAATAAAGTGCATGTTTGTTGCCTCATCTAAATTTTATATTACTTATAATCTATTATAAAAATTTATGTAATTTATATCTTTATTAAAAAATACATATCTGTTTTACTGATCCAGAAATTAATTTGAAACATTGCTTGAAAAAATTAATTTTTACCATTCCGAATGCGCCGCTACCAAGAAGTTTTGTAAATGTAATCTGTTTACGTGCGACTATAGTTACTGCACATTCATCTGGATTATAATGTAACGTAGGCTTGTCAATCATGAATTGAGTGTTTCGCCAAGATACTTCATGAAGATTCTCCAATTCCACATCAGTCGTTGTTGAATACAAAAGTTGTTTATTATTACCTCTGCGTTGACGATGCACTGTTATCAAATTTCGAGTTAATTATGTAATAATATGTATTTTAAAATCTATTGTTTTTTAGTAAATTTATTCGTTTAGTTTTATATAAGTAAATTACTATTTTCAGTATATCTCTATATGTTATATATATGTATAATCTACAATTCAAGTCGGTACCTAAATTAAATATACTTACAATAATAAAAGTAGCAGACGCAGATTATGATAACTATACTGATAAAACTTAAGGCTCCGGAGTACTCACCGTGAAACTCTAAGTTGACGGTGGCGACATAGGTTGAGAGTGCGGTAGGAATAAGAACTATATGCAACGACTTACCAGTGATCATATGGTAAGTCGTTCTACAGTTCTTTCATAATAATAGGTGCTTTCCATTTATATCAAAACTCAGATAAATCTCACTTCTGTCTTTCTTTAACATTAATGTTGAAGAAAAACAGAAGTGATATTTATTTGAGTTTTGATGTAAAAGGAAAGCACCTAATGACAGAGAAATGATAATAATATATAGTTATTAAATAAATTAACATTAAAAATTTTAAACCAAAAAAAACTTTCTTATATTTATTTTCCCGATAAATCTTCATTAGTGGTCATATTAGTGATATGTAAATGACGACGCGGCTCGAAAATCGAATCGTAAAGCATACGAAAGGAAATAAATATAAATATATATATATATATATATATACAGGGTGAGTCATTTTAATCAATACACTCGAATATCTCGAAAACAGCACTCTTCAGAAAGAAATGTTTCAAACAAAAATTGTAGGGTGTGAAGGGGGACATAAGATGGTAGCATTGGTTTGACCTTGGAAAGTCATTTGAAGGTCACATAAAAGTCACCTTCAATTTCTTAAATTGAACTCACTATTTTTCATTACATATTCTTGTAGCTTATCTCGAGAGCTTTCCAAAACACTACAGACAAATGTTTTTTCATTAAGTACTTTTTGAGTTATAAGGCTTCAAAGTTTGCAGTACTTCGATATAAAATGCAAAATATCTCGTAAAATATTTAGTTTTCGGTAGTCTTACCCTAATACTTTTATGCACAGGATAATGAGACAAAACTATTGGTGCAAAGAAAACGCATGATTGTTTATAACAAAAAATGTGTAATTTGCAATGCACTTTTTGTTATAAACAATCATGCGTTTTCTTTGCACCAATAGTTTTGTCTCATTATCCTATGCATAAAAGTATTAGGGTAAGACTACCGAAAATTATATATATATATATATTATATACCGGGTGTTTCAGACCACCCGTACACCCCATTTTAAAGCAAAGGAAGTGGTTATTTTGAAAAATGTTTCAGACAAAAGTTGTTGAAGATGAAGTAATGCATTACATGGGTAAATTTGATTGACCTTGGGTGGCGTCGTGAAGGTCATGTCAAAGTCGACTTGAATTTTTTAAATGGGAACCCATATTTTTCATTGCATATTCTTGTAACTGACATCAAGACGTTTTCAAAACACTGGTTACAAAGTCTTTTTAGTTGAAATCTTCCTGAATTATAAGACTTCAAAATTTCAATACCGCCGGCGTCAGCATTACCTACGATGTACCGCGTGGAGGTCGCACGGATATCGAATTTACATCTCTTCGGGGTGCTTGATTAAACTGAGTCCCCTTGCCTCTCACGTGTGTATGTACTATGTGCAGCGCGCAGTCAAAGAGAAGGACCCCGGGGTTCGTCAGTCCCCCAATATCTTACAACTCTAAACCCTCTCTGCTGTGTATTTTCAAGTGAGATAGTGTTCAAACTGAGCACCGTTATTTGCGATGCAAGCATCTACTCTGGTTTGGAAGAAATTGGCTCGAAGAATTTCATCAGTATTTAAGAATTGAATTGCTTCTCTTATCCTACGAATCATGTCGTCCCTTGTAGTTGGGCGTTCACGATACACCAAGTCTTTTACCCTTCCCCACAAATAATAATCCAGGATAGTGAGATCTGGCGAGCGGGGTGGATAATTGATCGGACCATATTTGCCTATCCACCTATTGGGAAACATAGTATTTAGTACTGCACGGGCAATTCTTGATGTATGTGACGGGCATCCATCTTGTTGGAACCACATATCCAGGCGCAATCGCAGAGGTAGATTTTCTAATAAGACAGGAAGTTCTGTCTCTATCAAGGCTGAATATTTAACAGCGTTTAAATTTTCTTCAAAGAAAATAGGACCTATGATCTGGCTTCCAATAATGCCGCACCAAACATTCACCTTCCAAATATGCTGATGATCTATTTCTCTCAACCAGTGAGGATTAACTTGAGACCAATAACGACAGTTCCACGTATTGACACTTCCATCACATTTGAATGTAGATTCATCAGAAAATAAAATTTTGTGATGAAAATTAGGTGGTTGTTGTCTTATCCAGTTGCAAAATGCAAGTCTATTTTGACAATCATCATAATTTACAGCTTGGTGAAGAGACATTCGATAAGGGTGAAACTTGTTTTGACTCAAAATGCGCCAGATACTAGTAAGACTAACTCCAGAATCTATTTCTCGGCGTCTCAAGGAATCATGAGGATTCAATTCTGTTGATGCAAGAATTTCCGCTGCTCTTTCATTCCTAATTGGACGGCGGATCTGTCGATTTTTGTTATGTTGAGGCTGAACGACACCTTCGGTCCTGATTCGGTTAGCTAAACGTGAAAAAACGTTACGCGAGTGAGGAGTCCGATCAGGAAATCGCTCTTGCCACAATCTTTCAGCGAATGTACCTCGACACTCACCCAAAATTAGCAACATATCATATGCTTCTTCATTCGAATAGGACATGGCTATGACGATATGAATTAACCCGAATTAAATTATTCCGAGAGCAGGAATAGCGCGAGATTCGACCCTGGGTCGGGAAGACGACGACGGAATCGTCAGAGCGAAAGCGACTAACAAAAGCTATAAAACAAATGATGATAATTCCGAATCGTAAAACTTTTCTTTCACAAACCTGGGGAATCTGCTACGACGTAATTGCTACTTCGAAGTTTACCGATCCTTCTTTTGTTTTATAAGTACTTAGGTTTTGTTAGTTCTGCCGATCCTTCGTCCCGCAAACACGTCGTCGTATACCTATATATATATATATATATATATATATATATATATATATATATGTATATACGTGCTAATATAAAAGTCGCCCAAACGATATTCTTCAAAGAATAAAACATTGTCAGAATCCTCTCGAATAAAAGATCACTGTAGAGCGTGCAATGAATTCCTTGAGCACATCCGTCGTGATCATTCTTAGAAGTAAAACAAGTCGCCTTTTCATACGTTGTTCCGAGAACTGTAAGAATACAATTTCTTTTAGCGATAAAATAACTATTAAGCAAAGCGATAATTAATTTCCATATACTTATATATATATATATATATATATATATATATATATATATATATATATTCTTATAGTAAAATCTATTGTAATGATAATGGCTTAACGCATTAGAATTTATTAAAATATTATTCGTAGACTTATGTAATCATTAAAAGGTGACTTTGAAAATCTTAAAATATATACATATAACATTACAAAAATTCTAATTGTTAAAGCCTTTATTAAATGAATAAAAATATATCTTGTAAATGATAAACCTCGATAATTAGTCTTACGATAATTATTAAATCTAGAAATATTACGTGTAATATGTCAGTTTAAGCCACGTAAACGAATTTTAAAAAAGGTAATTCATTAAAAATATTACTATTACCAACATGTCTTATAAAGAGAAAGAATGCGGTGAGCAATTCTTAGAAGGACATCCAGCATATCTATTCTTAGAAAAGAGATAAGCCATCTTCATATCCGTTGCTTTAAGACCTGCAAAGAAAAATCTCTTATAGCAATCCAAATGCTAAATTTTCCTTTACAAATTATTACTAATTTTAACTATATATGTACCATTGTAAAAATCATTGTAATAATAATGGTTTAATACATCAGAATTTATCAAAATATCACTTAGAATTTATACAATTGCTATAACTCGAACTCAAATTTTCAAATGACATAAACATGATATTGTAAAAATTCTGATTGTTAAAAATCATTATTAAAAATTATTCTAAAATTATTTAATAAATCTAAGACTCAAGACTTGCAATCCCTACCACGAAACTCTCACCCACCACATCGCAAACTCATAGCAGGAAGGGATAGCTCCAGCAGCCGACCCACCAATCACCGAAGAAGCCCACCTCCTCTCCCTACCAATAAACATCGAACCAGAGGAAGGTATTTAAGGCACCCCAGGCGCTCTCTCTACGCCTTTTAGACAAAGTCGGTCAGCCCTCTAACACAGCTCTCTGCGCCATTAACTCGCCTTTAAGCCCTAGCTCTCTCAGCCATTAACTCGCCTCCAGCTATCGAAGAGGAAAAACCTAGAAGCCTACCGGACACCTTAACTTATTCGAAAATAACTTAGTCGCGATTTTGATTTTTTTTCTTTCGGGACTTAGTCTCAATCTCTATTAAGAGAGCTGTATCAACATTAACACTTTAATAAAGTGCTACCATCCAACAACCTCTGACTCTTTGGCCATTCTCTGCGCTGCCTTGCCACTTCTTCAGGTTCTCACCGAGGTCGAGCAACCCAGGGAAGGAGCAGCGGTGCCTGTATTCATCCATTGATCCCGTCATCCGGTAAGGAAATAATAAAATAATAATCATTCTTAATCAACCTTGATAATAACTTTGTATATTAGTTCGATTTATTCTAGGCCTATTGACAATTTTCCCAGAATCTTACTTGCCCGTATACAGACTTTAAATTTTTCTTCCGAGTTGAATTATTTAAATTTCAACCGATCCTCTGAGAACGCTCGAAGCGTATCCTAGAGTGTAGCGTCGTTCGAGTTAGTCACTCGATGTGCATTGAGTAGCAAATTCTACTCCTCTGCCGCTTTCACGGAGAGCTTCTCTGAAAGAATTTCTCCGTGGATCCTGTGCCGCTGTGACGTGACGTCTTGCACATCGATACTAGACTCAGAATCTAAGACTCGCTCCTAGAGGATCTGTCGAAATAATAGAATTTATGCACTGGCTTACAAGTTAACTATCGAAACATTTTATGAATTTTATACTTATCTGAAGTAAGCCAGCCGCTCTCACCCGTATCCTCGTCTGTATCCTTGAATCTCCAGACCTCTCGGTGCAGCCGCATGCTCCTGGAAATTCAGTATATGCTAGATAAATTATCATTCGTTGTACGACAATTTTCCCCGAATCCTACCTTTCCGTATACAGACTTTAAATCCTTCTTTGAGTTGAATAATTTAAATTTCAACCGATCCTCTGAGAACGCTCAAAGCGTATCCTAGAGTGTAGCGTCGTTCGAGTTGGTCACTCGATGTGCAATGAGTAGCAAATTCTACTCCTCTGCCGCTTTCACGGAGAGCTTCTCTGAAAGAATTTCTCCGTGGATCCTGTGCCGCTGTGACGTGACGTCTTGCACATCGATACTAGACTCAGAATCTAAGACTCGCTCCTAGAGGATCTGTCGAAATAATAGAATTTATGCACTGGCTTACAAGTTAACTATCGAAACATTTTATGAATTTTATACTTATCTGAAGTAAGCCAGCCGCTCTTACCCGTATCCTTGTCTGTACCCCCTGAATCTCCGGACCTCTCGGTGCAACCGCATGCCCCTGAAAAATACAAAATATATTAAATAAATCATTAATTGCTGTACCCCAATGAACTGTATATAGCCGAACGTTTCAACCATGATATGAGAACGAGTGAGATATACTATCATAATCTACATTCGTTTATCTCACAATAATCCGTTAAGCCGTATTATTCGTCTTAACTCTATGAACCACCTTGCCGTGAATACATTTACCTTATAAAACCATTCATCTTAACAGGTACCTTTCTACGCATCATCGTAAGTAAACCCCTTTTGTGTTAAATCAATCGCATCAAACATACTAAATAGTCATATTCCCTCGGTAGATGGTTAACCCCCGCCGGACTTCTTCCGTTGGACGCGAAATTCCCCTCCGTGCCGCGGGTATACGCCGCAGGCGTGCCTCCCGGTCGGTACTTAGGCTCCCTACAGCTCGTCAGTTGTTTGCCGACGAGAACGACTTAACAAGCAGAGTAACAAGGTACTCTTCAGTGCGTAGTTTCGCTCCCTCCCGCGCATACCCTTATCGTCCTCCCCAAAACCCTCCAGCGGTTCTTCAAGAGGAACAACAGCCCAGAGCCAGGCCGCCATCGCCCAATTACTCCCCCATCCAGGATTCATCTAATCCCAGCTACTCGCCGGTCAGGACACTGGAAGATCTTCCTTCCATACCGGAAGAACGAAGACCCATAGAACAAAGCACAGAAACTGAGGCTGGTCCATCCAACCCAGGTCAAGTTCTGGATCCCCCTGAACCAAATTTCTACCCGGAACCAGAGGACCTAGTCTTACCAAGCAGTATCCAACCCCTCGCAGGACTAACAGACGAAGATTTTATCGAGATCTACGAATACTTGCAGCGAGATAATTTCTTCAACAACCGCGAATAATAACCATATCTAGATATCGCCCTAGAAATGCTATAGAGAAGAACATTAACTACATACACACATCTATACGTATAACGATATACACTATCTACAACTGTCAAATAATAACAATAATAACAATAATAAAAAATTTGTAAAGCTCTAAGGAAGTAAACTAATAAAAGAAAACAGATCAAAAAGGATAAATTGGGTCAGGTTCAACGCACCTAATTTATTTCCCATCGTCAATCCCTCTCCTGAAAGAAGCGCAAAAGATTCTTAGTCTCTCGGCGTCCTAGGGTATAGCCGGCTTGGCAGGTTGCCCTGAAAAAGAAATAGAGAGAAGTTACAATTGCGTAACAAATAAATACGTGAGAAGTTACGATCGAGACGTAACAACGAAATCTCAAAAACGTAACAAAAAAATTGGTGGCAGCGGTGGGATCTGCCAAAAGAATCTAAGCTTCGTGGAGAATTGTCGGTGGGATCTGCCTAAAGAATCTAAGCTTCGTGGAGAATAGTCGGTAAATAGAAATAAATTTTTGAAGACGTCATGCAGACCCGATCAAGCTCAACAAGCTCCGTAGCCGCTGGTGCTACTAGAAAACAATATACAGCAGAAGAAACCGAAATTTTAATGCAAAAATTAAATGAAAAAGAAAGACAAATGAGAGAACAAGCTGAATCTCTGCAAGCTCAGAACGAACATTTAACCAAGATGCAAGAAGAAATGGATCGTAAAGGAAAGGCTGAAGTTCACGAACAACCCGCCATCGAGCAACTAATGGCTTCAATGCAAACGATAACTAGATGTGTCGAAAGAATTAATTCAAGACTTGCAAACTTAGAACTCGCTCAAAGGGAAGAGAGATATGCCCCGCGTGAAGAACGATCATTTTCCCATCAAACTTCCCAACATCATGACCCTGTAGACCAACCCTCCCCGATACGTCTCAAAGACGCTATCGACACTGTACCAAAATTCGACGGACATAAAATGTCAGTTTTTCATTTTAGCAAAATTTGCGAACGCGCCCTCGACTTGATACCGGTATATCATGAATACCACCTCGTGCAACTTATTATCAATAAACTACAGGGACACGCTTATTCCGCCATAGAAGGAGTAGAATGCCACACCGTACTAGAATTGACCAAACGATTAAAACTCATTTTTGGACCTAACAAATCGGTCGACCAATATAGAGGAGAATTAGCTAACATTTATATGAAACAGAATGAAAATATTTTCGATTATATCGCGAGAGTACAGGAGTTACGCACTGCTATTATAGACGGAGAATCCGATCTATCCGGAAATATCGGCGAGCGAAATAAAGACGCTATAGAAGCAACCACGATGAATAGTTTTATTAACGGGCTTCCCTCCGAGTTATTAGTGCGAGTAAAACTAGAGCGCCCAAGAACCTTCGAAGAAGGAATTAGCACAGCTATACAATTATCTAAGACTATCGAAGCGGAGAATATTCGTAAACGAACCCTCTTCCGTCCAAACTTCCAACCACGCGCTGATCTTCCTAACAATACCAGTAATATTGTCCGACGAAATCCTGTACACAATAATATTAACAATAATAATAATAGCGGATATCGACCCTCGTATCGCCCCAACAATGGTCAACCAAATTCTCAACCCCCGTACCCCGTTACACCAAACAAGGCAATAATAACTGCACCACCTCAACATAATTATCAAACTAAGATTTGTCGCTATTGTAAAACTCCCGGACATCTTATAGAAGAATGTCGCAAACTCGCCTATAGACGAGCTCAAGAAATGAATCAACCTAGCACCTCGGGAAACGAACGGGGCGTTCCGATGAAAATCGACGTCCGCCGGAACGACCTACAACAAGGACGTCCTGCCTACCTTATTCAAAAGAAGATCAATACAACAACTCCCTCGGAAGAATCCGAACAAACCTCAGAATCTGCCAAATAAATGATACAAGACAAACCATGGAATTACCTACAATTACTTTAACTTCCCCAGATCTAATGAATTATTGTAAATTTATGGTTGACTCTGGATCAGGGCTTAATCTCATTAAACAAAAATGCTTGGGACCGCACGTTATTCTCGATAAAACCAACTCTCTGGCCCTACAAGGAATAGCATCTGAAACCATTATTACTCTGGGAGTAATTTCAATATTTATACTCGGAGAATTAACCGAATTTTATGTCATATCCGATTTAATCGGATTCGCTCAAGATGGAATTTTAGGTAACAGATTCCTGAGGGAACGATCTGTTATATTAAATTATAAAGACAATTGCTTGCAATACGAAGAAGCAAGAATTCCTTTCTCCAACACAAATACCATATGCTTAAAGAAAAGAACAGTTACCCCCTGTTCCTTTTGTATTTCAAATCCTGAGAAACAGAATGGATACGTACCCCGACATGACCCCGCCAAAGGCATATATTTTGGCGAAGCCATCGTCACTAACAACAATGGAAAGGCTTATATGCCTATTTTTAACACTTCTGAGGAAGAAATAACTCTCAACATTCCATCTGTGGAATTACAAGATTTTGATATCTACAACACAAATAATAATTCCTCCGGAACCTTAGGGCCTTCGGAAGAACCTATTCAAACTCCTAATCTCAATAACTCTACTTCTCTACGTCAGCCCTTAGGGGACCTTCCTAAAAATATAGATAACCCTCTATATTTCAATCAAATACACTCTTCACATACTGATAGAGCATCAGATATTTTACAACTCCTCCGCCTCGAGCATCTGAATTCCGAGGAATCAGAGAACATTCAATTATTAGTCCTTAAACATTCCGAGAGATTTCACCTTCCTAGTGAAATTCTTCAAGCAACTAATGCTGCTCATCATTTCATTCCCACTCTTAATGACATACCCGTTCACACAAAACAGTACAGATTCCCTCCCGTACACAAGGAAGAAATTAATAGACAAGTGAACGAATTATTGTCTTCAAGATTAATCGAACCCTCAACATCTCCTTATAACTCACCATTGTGGATAGTTCCGAAGAAACCAGACTCGCTGGGAAATAAAAGATGGCGAATGGTAATCGACTACCGAAATCTTAATGAAAAAACGATCGGAGACGCTTATCCCTTACCTAATATAACTGATATATTAGACCAACTCGGATCCGCCAAATATTTTTCCATATTGGATTTAGCCTCTGGTTTTCACCAAATACCTATGGCAGTTAAAGACGCTCACAAGACCACTTTTTCTACACCATACGGGCATTACCAGTTTAAAAGAATGCCTTTCGGATTAAAAAATGCTCCCGCGACCTTTCAAAGGTTGATGGATAACGTCCTCTCTGGACTTCAAGGAAATGAGTTGTTCGTCTATATGGATGATATCGTCATATATGCGAGATCCCTGAAAGAACATGAAATTAAATTTGAAAGATTAATGCAAAGATTAAAAGCCGCAAATTTAAAATTACAACCAGACAAGTGCGAATTCTTAAGACGTGAAGTGATGTATCTGGGACATATAATCGGATCAGGTGGAGTTAAACCCGATCCCGCTAAAGTAAAAGCAATTATGAACTTCCCGACCCCAAGGAATCCCAAAAACATCAAACAATTCTTAGGATTAGCCGGATACTACAGGAGATTTATACCCAATTTTTCAAAAGTCGCGAAACCTTTAACAGATCTTTTGAAGAAAGACCGAAAGTTTGAATGGACTATAAAACACGAAGAAGCCTTCGACATCCTAAGAAATTCGCTCTGTTCCGAACCTATTTTACAATACCCTGACTTTACCAAACCATTTATATTGACCACTGATGCATCAGGATATGCAGTAGGAGGAGTCCTTAGCCAAGGACCGATCGGAAAAGATCTCCCCGTCGCCTACACTTCCCGCATTCTGAATCCTGCAGAGCAAAATTATTCAACAATAGAAAAGGAATGTTTAGCTATCATTTACTGTGTAACTCATTTTCGACCATACCTATACGGAAGATTATTCACCATAGTAACCGATCATAAACCATTAGTTTGGCTGCATTCTGTTAAGGATCCTTCATCCAGATTATGGAAATGGAGAACGAAAATATCAGAATATCAATACGAGATACAATATAAGAAGGGAACGTTAAATAATAACGCTGATGCGCTATCTAGAAACCCACCTGTTAATCCAGCCGCTCCGCTGTTCCTTATCGAGGACGCTGAGTATTCTTCTGATGAATCCATGTTCTCGCATAAACCTCAAAAATCTCGAGGAAATCCCAACGAACCTGAAAAACAAAACAAAGAAATTAGCCAACAAAAATCAAAACCCCCACAACCACCTACTCGAAACCCCCTTTCTCCCAGAATTCCAACCCCAGAAGATCTTCAAAATCATTCCGCCGAACAAGAAGATAATGATAACTATACACTCAGCATTGAAGAAGTGACCGATTCCACTGAAAGCGATGACGAAAATTACGAAG